TATAGTTTAAAAACTTTAAGAAATTTTTTGAGGTTACTGTAGTCTATAGCTAAAGTTTTTAAAAAACTTGTAGCAGACAAACTTGGCAAAAAACTCAATCTAATCTTCGTTACATTAATGGAAAATATCATATTTAATTGAATTTGATTACTTGAAAGTCACATTAATTACAAACTTGGCAGAGATGGAGCAGCAGCCAAGAAAAGTCACATTAATGGAAAATATCATATTTAATTGAATTTGATTACTTGAAAGTCACATTAATTACAAACTTTCAATTTTAATGAAATGTGATTTTTTGAACGTCAGTGGGAATTCTTAATTTTAATTGAATTTGATAATTTGACGGTCACATTCAGTATAAACTTTTACATTTAACTAATTTAAGTTTTTTTAAAGTCACATTTATTATAAAATTTATATTTGACTGAATTTTATTTTTGAAAAATCACATTTGCTACCAACTCCAAATTATATCTAAATATGAATTTTTTAAATTCACATTCAATACAAATTCTTAATTTAATTTGTTAATTTGAAATTCAAATTCAACACAATATTTTATGTCTAACTAGATTTAATTTTTTAAACTCACATTTAGTACAAAATATCAACTTTAATCTAATTTGATTTTTTGAAAGTCCCATTTAGTAGAAACTCCTAATTTTAACTATATGTAATTTTTTGAAAGTATCATCCAGTATAAACTTATTTAAATGACTAAATTTGAGTGTTTTAAGTCATATAATACAAAGTTTCAAATTTAACTAAATTTGATTTCTTTAACGTCAAATTTAGTACAAAACATTAACTTAAACTGAATTTGATTTCCTGATAGTCACACTCAATACAACTCTTAATTTTAACTGAAATTGATATTTTGAAAGTCACAATTGATACACACTTACACTATTAAGATTTTTGTCAGCCTCAATCTAAGTACAAAATTGCAGTAAATACTAAAGCATATGGAAAGCAAAAGCCTGGTAGTCAATAATTTTTTTTAAAAAAATGCAACGTATAAATTTTTTTTGTACAATAATTTATTTTGTTTGATGGCTAATTCCTTATGTCACGGGCTGCTTGTTTTCTTACAAGACAACACTCCGTGCGACACTAGCTGTCATTCAAAACTTGAGCTATGAACAGTTGGCTAATTCAAACTAAACACCAAGTGCGCAAAAGTTGTGCGGAAGCGTAAAAGTAATAGCAAAAAGAGAAAGTATTGGAGGCAAAGGAAAACTTCTTTATTGCACTTGAGAACTCTTGTATAAAGGTTACCACAAATGAAAAGGACTTGACCTATTTATAGGCAAGTCAAGAAACTATACACAACTCTAGAGAATTCTAGGTCAAGTCAAGAAACTATACACAACTCTAGAGAATTCTACACAAAATGTACTTTACACTTGGACTCTAGAAGGATCTATACAAGTCCACTCTTATCTACAAGATTCTAGACCATTCCACAAGACTCTTGAATAACCAAGAACATTCCTAGAGAATTCTACATAAAATGTACTTTACACATAGACTCTAGAAGTATCTACACAAGTCCACTCTTATTTACAAGACTCTAAGCCATTCTACAAGATTTTTGAATAGCCTAGAACGCTCCGGAAGTTTCTAGCATATACTACATCTAGCAATACATTCTGTAGCCTCCATACCTTAATCAAGCCACCAAGGCTTGGCACATAGATAGGGGAATGGGGTGTGGATCTATTACCGGTGTCAGTTTTTTTATCAAGATACTATGTACAGTATGCATGATTTGACATGCCGAACACGGGTACAAACGGTGTGTGATCCTTGTCACTTAAAAGCCAATAGGAGTATACTAGGTGGGTATGGCCGCGCTAAGCGCGGTGGATCAATGCAATTATGCCCTGTCTTGTATTGGTCATTGAGGGTTGGTGTGATGTTAGAATAAAAAGAAACATGTAAACTGTATAGGTTGTTCAGTTTAGATTAGTGAAATAGGCTGAAATCATATAACGAAAAGTAAAAGCAAGAAAGGAGTAAATGTAGGAGAGTGGTGTATGTGATAGCTGAAAATGTTAGAATGGAATTATATGAAACTGTATATGGAATTATATCTAAAGTTTTATTTATAAAGTAGAAGGTGATGATTTGATAAATTGGATATGAAATGGTGGATAATTGTAAAATATATTGTGGAAAATTTTTTGCTTTTGAAATGTATGGTATCATATTACAATGTAAAATTTTTTGGTAAAATAAATGACAGTTATATATGAAGTAGGTGAACTATTACTAAGATGGATAAGAAGGTAAATGTTTATTAAAAGGAAATTGTTATTGGATGTAAAGTTTAATTTGTAATTGATTTTTATCTTTTTATAGTATTTTTAGCTATGAAATCATGTTTATTGATCAATCACAGAGTATTAATAAATAAGGATAATATAGTTCATGAATAATGTTACAGATACAAAAAGTTAATGACTAATTATAATAATAAATTGGCTAATTATAATAATGGATATGAAATACAGGGTATCAAGGGAAAATTTTTTCATCCCCATTGCTGTTAAATATTAAAACAGTACAGACAGTCTTCGATTCTGGAACGAAAATAAGGACGTCATTGTGCTGGAGTTGATGTTGAAGAATGAAAGCTTTCCAATTTTTTTTGAGCTGCTTGCCTTTGATTCCAATTTCTGTTACGTTATCTCCAGTTTTGAGAGCTATAAGTGAAGTTTTTTGTTCATTGAGAAAATAGTCAACAAATCGTGGGATTTTCTGATACAAAAAGTAAAAGTTAGTGAGCTAAGTTGAAGGAAATGAGTTAGGTAGGGAATAATTTAAGAAAAATATAATAAGGATTATTTACCAATGTATACGGGTCGACTGAGTGAAAGTTCTGATAGAAGCATACTGAAGTGGATAAATCTTGCGAAAAATGAGGTTGAAGTGAAGATGTCACTATTTCTTCATGAATTGGCGGATTAGCATGAACTGCACATAAGAAATATTTTTGTTGGAATAAATAATGTAAGATTGGAACATTACTATGAAATAGAAAGGATAAAGATGTATTATGAATGTATACAATTTTGCTGAAGATGAAGGTTGGTTAGAGGGACTGTCCAGCTGAGATTAACGTGTTGTTGCAATTCACAAAAATTAATAACATCAAAAAATAAATTCCCAATATGTCGAAGCAATAGTATGTGATGTTCATTAGTAATATTTTCTTCACAATATTTATCCCATCCTGCTCCAAACGAGTCAGCATTTACTGTAATATTCCATTGTTTTGTTCCGTGCATGAAGGTAATTGTGTGACGGCCATGTTGAGACAGTAATGATTTGAATAAAGGAGGTAAAACCTGCATATGATATTAAGATAACAATATTTTAAATGAAATGTAAATTAGAGAAAAATTTGGAAACGTATGCTGTTGAACAAAAAGGAATGTACCTGGCCTCTATTTTTGCATCGGATGAGAAAGCAACATCTTTGTGAAATAGTATTTGCCATTTTGAAGAAAAGTCAGGTATGGATTTGTTGTAGTTGGTAGTAAGGTTTAAAATTCAAGTGAAAGATGAAAGTTTAGAAATGATAAAAGATTTTCAATATGAAGGAGTTATGAATGTATGGTAGGAGTAGAGTTAGGAAGTCTAGGATAGAAAAGATAGGTATACATAGAGAATGAAGAAATTTAGAAAAAAAAAAAAATTTTAACGAAATGAATGTATAAGAACAGGAATAATTAATGAATATGGTTGAAATAAGAACAGGAAAAATTAATGAAGGTGGTTGAATATGTAGTTGGTGCATGTTGTCAGAATAATAAAAATGAGATAACGTTGCTGTAAATGAGAATGATTCAGGAATGAGCACGTGGTTTGGTATGTGAATCTGTATTTTTATACGTGTAAGAAAGGTAAATTGAAGAAGAAAGATAAATGGAAACAATTTTGATAAGATAAAACATTTAACTTGACAAATAAAGGATTTTGCGTGGAGAAGAAAAGATTGTTATGTAATCTTGAAACAAGGAAGAGTATAGTTAAACAGCGGTTATTCTATTAATTCTGGCAATGATAAGTTACTGAAGAAAAGACAGCAGCAATACTATGATTTCTTGAAATCGTAAATGGCCCAAAAAAAGGTTTCAAACAGCTTCATCATGGCCATGGAACTATTACAGACATTGCTTGTCGACTGTTATTTAGCTAGTTACCCTTCAAAGAGTTTATTCTACTGCTGAATCAAACACTATCCAGTAAGTCAGAGTTTGTAATAGGTAACCTTAACTTCTAGAAGAGATACTTAGGCAGAATACACTAAGGAGCACAATAAAACAGTAAAGCCAGAGAAAGAGCAAGAAGTCGTGACAACACAAGTCCCTGGTGATTTAATTAGAGACAACATAAAAAGTTGCAACCAAGGAAATTGCTATCAGAAAAGTTGGTCTATCGGGTTATTACTGCCCTATGTTCTAAATAGGCATTGGCATTGGCATAAGAACTTATCGAAATAGGAGAAGGTATACACCTGGTCAATGCGCTGCAAAACACCACTATTTGAAGCCAAAATACTCCATAACAAGAACAAAAAAGCAAACAAAACTACAAAAGTAACACCGAGCCATTATGATAGATCACAGGATACCAAGAACCAACTTGTGAACAAATTCCGTTTGATACTTCCTGTCATTTCCCTATTGCACATTGTGATTCCAAAACTAAAGCAAGATATACATGTTAGGGAAACTAGGAAGCCTATCAGCAAATGACACACATAAAACTGCTTTCTGGTGATAAAAATGTCTGGCAGGATTGCATCAGGACCATCATTTGGGTTCTATATATAGTTTAGCAAGAGATATAGGTTGCTATATTGTAATACCCTCCCCGCCTCAAGTTCTTATCTTATGCTATTCCATCTTTTTTCCTGTGATTTTTTTACACAAGTTAACTCCAGTAAAAGAATCACACAATTGCATATAACAGATGGGAAAAACAAAGCTCCAAAATAAGTAGTATGTCTACATTTAAAGAAATGTAATTCTGAAACAAGAAACAACATAGTTAAGTAGCAGTCATTTTCTGATTTCTGGAAATCATAAGTTGCTAAACAAAACACAACAGCAATACCATGATTTCTTAAAATCATAAATTGCTGAACAAAAAGCATAGAGCAGCAATTTAGTTTCAAAGTAGCAATCCTAAGTTTCAAAAGAAACTATAGAACATGAGAACTTAGTTCAGTTTTGGCTTCTTGTTGTAGCTAGTTCCTTCAAGATGAGAAGCATTTTTTTCTGGTTCTTCAGCCTGATCAAACTTTTGATTTAGTGAAAGACGAATCTTTGAAGTTGGATTGTTTTCTTCAGTAGTTAAAGTGCCTGGAGAAGAATGGGATTAATTTGGAGTAAGAAAAAAGGATTATTTATCTGTGATAAGTATATTTATATACCTGAAGTTGTGGTCTGTGAAGGGCCATCCTGATTATGAACTGATAGAAAGGGAATGATTGATTCATTGACAAAAGAAATTGGGGTAGCAGCATCGACAATCTCAGAATAATAAATGATTGTATATCGCTGCTTTGTATCTGCAACTTGAGTTTGTACTGGCTTAATGTGTACCAAGAACCACTTTGAGTCAAGTTCTTTGTGGACGATTTCAAGTGGAAGCTCAATGTTCTGTGAATTAGAAAGCATTTAAGAAAAAGTTTTCAGAAAGCAGAGAATATGGTTTCAATTTGTGATTTAGGATAAGTGAATAATAAGTTGAACATGAACCTGCTTAAAGTGTTCCATTATTTCAAGAGCATTGAACGTCAGCAGTTGTTCAGCTTGTTCTCCAAAGATAGAAACTGTGATAACTCCAGTATGATCCCGTAAATCCACATCAAAGCGACACCTGCAAAAATGTTTGTAAATAAAAGTTTAGCATGTGTAAAAAGTGATGATGATAGTAAACTTTAAAGCTTTTTCGAAAAAAAAAAGATTGGTTTTAGTAATGAACCTTGGTTCAGCAGGATGTTTTTCTTTACAAATATTACAGCTAAAAATGACTTCATGTGCTGCTGCAGTACCTCAATAACATTTTTTGCAGCTCATATACCAGTATTTTTGAAATATGTGCTGGAAACTGAACTGTGCTTTGACCCATGTACTCTAAATTCAGAAGTAAAAAGTATGAATATGTTGTTTGATAAATAAATGTACTGTAAAATAAACTATCAGTGAAGATGTTTATACCTTGTGGGTAGGATTAACATTGCAAATTAAGGTGGTCTTTTGATCTGGTTTCAATGAAAGTTCTGGATTGTATCTAGTATAAGTTTTCTGTTCCAGAATAACTGTCAACTCCTTGCTATTTCTTATTGCCCTATAATAAAATAAGGTTAAAGAAGTAAAGAATAAATTATATTGCATGAATCATGAACTGCTAAGAATGATAATGAAAGGGAAGAGATAAATCAAAACCAATTCTTTAGTTTCCTTGCTTCTTGAACAGGAGGATCAACGAGGATTGCAGAATCAAACCATGTGGACAAAGAAACACCTATAGAGAATATTTATTGACTCAAGATCATTTGTTAGAGAGACTTATATATGGATATAAATGTATCAGATAATGGTTAGGCATTAAATTGTAAGTTACCATTGTAGTTGTTGACTTTTATCCTTCGGGCAATAATAACAGGATAGTTGTTCATGGCAGAAATTATCTGTTCTCCTTCATTTTTGATGAAATCATCCCACATAGAAAGTACAACAGTTTGCAATCTACTATGAAATAAATAATTAGTATTTAATAAGATATATGTAATAGGAGAAATTATAACTACTGATCGTTATATATAAGATGAGAATTGGACATCTTACTTTTCATTCACAAGCACAAACTTTTGAACAATAGACTCTCTGTAGTGTGTAGTAATTGCCTTTTTCTCCAATGCTTCAATAACTATTCCAAGGATATCTGGAAAAAGGAAAAATTTGTTGAATATTTCATGCAGAGATATGCATACTATTTATATAGATAAAGTAATGAGATATACCAACTGATTTAGTCTTATAGTCCATATACTGTGCCAAATCTGTAAACTTTGTATAGTTGAACTTGACAGGCATTATATCTTCATCATCAAGAACCTCTTCAATAACAGTTTTGCTCGTGATTGTCCACTGATGAGTTATTTCAGCAGTCTGATATTTTGGTAAGATTGGCTTCACTTCAGCATTGGATATGTTGTATTTCTTATAAACTTGAAGGATTGAGCTCATTCTAGGGATGTCATTGTTGAAAATAATGCCTTCAATTTTTTATCCCTGTTGTATTATAACATAAGTTACCACAAACTAACCTTCCAAATAGCATCAGTAAGACAAACAACTGGAATGCAGAAAACAATAGTATCCTTATATAACCTTTTGATAATGGAACAGAGGAATTTAATTACATACCACAGTCCATGGTTTATACTTTTGCAAGAACCAAGGCAAATAGGCAATAATATTTTCTGCGAAACAATTTGTGTACCTCAGCGTCAATAACTATGAACTTTTGCTTTTTTGTTGGGGTGGACATTGATTGAGTAACTTGCTGTTTTTCTTGAACTGTGATTTTGCATGTCCAACTTTGCATTTCAGGCATAATTTCTTTTATTGTGAGCAACTTTTCCATTCTGCATTTTCATGTATACAAAGGAAGAAAGATATCAGAAGGATTCATATATACAACAACAATCATTCTTGAAAAAGAAGAAAGTTATTATGGCCATAAAGTACCATATTAGTCAAAGAATAATGAATGGATAAATCTGTATGATATACCTAAACCGTAATAACATCAGTGCTGAGTTAGCTGAAATATTTCTTGGAATACAACATTTCTAGTCTTGCAATCAACTTTAATGTCTCCAAAAGTTCCAGGCACAATGAGAATTTTAACTGCAGCCGATGTTTTAGCTCTAGATAAGGCTACGTACAACTGTCCATGAGAGAAAACCAACTCACGAAGGTAAATTCCCACATAATCAAGAGTTTGTCTTTGAGATTTGTTAATTGTTAAGGCAAAGCAAAGCCGAACAGGAAATTGTGTTCTTATAAATGGAAGGCCGTTCTTTTCACTATCAGATGTTTGAAGAGGAATTTTAGGCAAAAGATTCTTTTCCCTTGGTGCTGGCCAAAAGCTATTTCAGCACAGATTGTATGCTGTCTGAGCTCTCTACAGATGAGACGTGTACCGTTACATAATCCTTCTACAGGGTTCAGATTTCTCAAAAGAATGAGAGGACAATTTTCTTTAAGCAACAACTTGTGAGGAGGAAGACCTTTTGGATTTTGTGAATTGAGAAAATCTTCACAATCTCCTTGATGACGCTGATCAACAGTTTTATCAGAGCTAATATAAACATGAGGATTTCCGGGAAACCTTTTTATCATGATATCATTTAGCTCATCAACTGAACTTTTTTTTGGAGTAAGAATGCACCTATTGATCATAGTATAAGGATCATTCGAATAAGCCAATAAATCTGGAAATACAGATTTTATCAACCTGGATATAAGAAAAGTAAATCAAGATACATATAAAGGGCAAATTTAGAAAGACAAGAAGTAGTAAAAAGAAGCATAGCTGAATAACAATTTTATAACCTGTTTAGAGATTCTTCTTTTTCATAATATGGAATGACCATGTCATTCGGTAAGATTATTTGGCCCTGTGCATCAACAGGCTCTCTTCCTTCACCCACCCTTAAAAGAAACTCTGAGAATACTAGGTCCAAAATGGCCCGCTTAGTTTCAACATATGAAATTTATTCCATAGAGGTGAATTAGGAAGGCTAGCTTCTATGAGAGTTTGTTTTGAAGCTCGCTCAATCACAAGTAAAGTTTGTCGAAAATCTCCTCTAAAAACTATCACCTTTCCTCCAAATGGCAGCTCAGATTCTATTATGTCTTTAAGCAAATGATCAAAGGCTTCAATAGTTTCTTTTTTTGCCATTGATGCTTCATCCCACAATATCAGTTTTGATTCAAAAAGTAGTCTTGCAACACTACCTTGCTTACTGAGCTGGCAAGTTTTATTTGTTGACAAATCCAGCGGTATTTTAAATCTAGAATGGGCTGTTCTTCCACCTGGAAGAACAGATACTGCAACACCGGATGTTGCGACTGCAATAGCAACATGTCTTTGAGATCTTAAAGTAGCTAAAAGTGACCTATAGAGAAAGGTTTTACCAGTTCCATCCGGACCATCGATAAAAAAACTTTGGCCAACAGAAGAAGAAATTGCATGCAGAATTAAATCGTAAACATGCTGTTGCTGAGCATTCAATTTAAAAGGCAAAAACAGATCTTCTGGTAATACTTCAATATTCCTTTCACTGTCAATTTCCTTTGTTAACTGTTCATGATATGCACTTCTAAAACTATCTGGAACTAAATGGTAATCATCAATATTTTTACCCATCTGTTCAAGCAATCTGCTAATATCTTTCAAAACTTTACTTCTGATTTCAGCAGAAGAATAGTGAGAAAGTTCTTGTGATCTTTGATAATCACTACATAGCTGTTGTTCAAATTTGTCCCAGAGTAATTTTGGATCAGTGGGTGAACAATGAACAAGAACAGTAGCAAATAACAGTCTCAATGATGATGGCATTTGAAAAATTGCTGCTTCCTCAAGCGTATCTTCTATATATGTATCAGACTGTAATAGACCAAGGTTCAAAGCAGCTTCCCTGAAGCAATTCATTTTTTGACCATTAACTATTAAAAGGTCATCAAATGACGTAGGTGCTCGCACATGATTTAGCAACAGTCTAAGATAATACCTTTCTTCTTCCTTAGGACTAACAGTTACTAGTTTTCCAATAACCTTTTTACATTTTCTATCAGTCCAAATTTTAAATTTAGTGGACCAAACAAAATGCTCAGGAAATTCTCTATAAAAGCATTTCAAATTTTCAGCTTTTGAGTTTGCTTTGTTCATTTCAAAGAACTCGGTTAGCATGGTCTTCGAAAAATCAATCTTTCTCATCAATTCCAAAAGATTTGAATTTTTGTTGAAACTGATAAGCTGCTGACCAGGAAGATGAACTTGAAGAGAATAAACTGTTGGGGTCATCTCATTTAATCGGAATTCATAGATTCGCCAAAATGCTTCAGGGGTTGAAATCCATCTTCCCTGCTGGAACTCTTTTATTTCATTGACATCATCAGAGCTTCCTCCAGTCTCAATCTTAAAACTAACAAGATCATGTCCTTTGAAGATATATTTGTATAAATATTTCACCAGCTTCAAAGTAGAACAAACTTCTACATTCATGTGGCAATCAAAAAGGGCCAATAGATAAGGACAATATGGAATAACCCATCTATTGTCAAGCTGATATCTACGCACCTTTATCTTTTTACCATCATCTCTTCTCCTATAACATGGATAACTGTCTTCAGCATGGACCGTTTGTTCGCAAAAATTTTTTGGATAATGATTCTTGCATGAACCATTCCTCATACATGGGCTAGTTTGATCCATAACTCCGCATGGACCATGAATCATGTGTTTAAGAACAAGAGAGTATAGATGAGGATATTGATGAGGATTAGGGAGCTCGGCAGATACTATCCTATCATAAGATTGAGGATTCAACAACTTGAACAGTGGTTTCAAAATTAATAATAAATGAGCATGAGGAAATCCTCTTTTTTGAAATTCAATAACATAAATACATGCAGCTACCTCTCCAAAGATTTTCTTATCTAAAAGTTCATATTTAAGCATTTCAAATTTTGCTTTGAAAACTCTAGATAAAAGATCTGGTCTATCTTGAGGTTTTTCTGTAAATTACAGGTTGTCTTGAATTTCTTTCCACATCGGATTGCATGTCGTTGTAAGAAAAATATCAGATTTTCCATACTTTTGAACCAAGGTCATGGCATCAAGATATCGACGCCTCATATCTCGTGGTCCGCCTATGAATGAAGCTGGTAATATCGCTTTACGACCAACCTTTGAACCTTCAGTCTGGCCTACCGAAAGACTATCCATCACTCCCTCAAGAATTTCAGTCCGAATATCATTCTGTCTTTTTCGTTGAAAATCCAACCTAGAAGTTTCAATCTTTACATACCCATCAACAGAAAATTGCTGTAATAATCTAAGTGTATGCAGCAACATGGATTCATCATTATCTCTAATTTGAAATCTATAACAATAATATTCTCTAGTCGAGACAGTATATTCCTCTTTCTTGCCACAGTCAGCAGCTATAAAAAGGAAAGAAACAATATATGAATGAAGAAATGTATTTATTTTAAATAATATTCAGAAATTTGAGAAGACAGCATGTGCACTTGCCTCTTCTTTCCAGATCAATCAAATCAGAGGAGTGTTCAACAGAAAATGGATCAATATTAACTTCATCCTCACATAAAGCATCACCTCTTTTTCTCTTATAGACTCGTTTAATTCCATGGTGCCATCCAGATTCACCCCGAGGAAATAATAAAGGATATTGTAAAGGGTCATAACAACCGTAGTAGTGCTGAATCCTATGACTTGTATTTGAGTGACTACAGACCAGAATATGTGCTTGTTTATCAAGAGACTCGTCATTACTTTCAGTCCATATTGCAGCAACTTGAGAAGTAGAAGGAAGATTATATACACGCTGGTCTAGAGTTGGGTAGCAACTAAGAGCAATGTTGAAGTTGTTAATATTTGGCACATCTCTGAGATCTTTGAAAAATCTAGCATAAGGATTGTCAGAAAGAATATCCATCAACAACCTTAAAGTGCTCTCACGCAACTTGTCACAGCTAGCTACTCTTCTTTTGAGCTCCTCATCAGTATCAAAAAAATATAGCTGAATTCCAGAAGATCTATCACCTGATTGTGATAAGCTATTGAGAAAATGATAAACTTGGCCTTGAACACGAAAAGTATAAACACCCTTCGTATTCTTTGTTAATTCGGAATCATATTTTGCAGCAAAAGCTGTGAAAGCCAAGTTGTTATTATAGGTACGAGCTAATTTTCTAAAATGCTCACTCTCTTCATCATTTCCTGTGAAAAGACGCTTGAGAGCATAAGGCATGCGAGGAGCGACAATAGAGATTTCTCCTTTGAAACAACAAAATGTAGGAAGTTCTAAATAAAACCTCTTAGCCCCACAATATTGACAGTTAGGAGCATCAGGAAGGAGTAAAGGTGCATCAGGAATATGATCAATTCTTGAAAGATATGTCCTAGCACCACTACCATTTTGCCCCTGTAGATGGATCAATATAGTTGATAGAATAACAAAGTCCAGTTTTGCAAGAGGGAGAAAATAGTATAAAAATGACTTAGACAGTATTAGGGTCACTAATAAATGAAATGCAAACTGGTACGCGGGCATTGTTACGAACAGGATGGCTACGTTTTGGCCTGGGAGGAGTAATAGTAGCGGTAAGATTACAACGATTTCTATGTCTTTTTCTTCTGTTGGCAACATCAGCCTTTGCTTGATGTTGCAAAGCTGAATTTTCATTGCAAGGCTGGATAACTACAATAGTAAATCTTAATAAGATCTCCATTGCAGAATATCTTGGTATAGATATATTACAGATATGGTGGATAGTGCATTTTCTTTTTTTTTCTTCTGTGATCAGAAGAAACCAAAGAAATAGCAAAAGATATTGACAAAGATAACAATTTAAAGAACCAATATTATACCTTTAGAGAGACATCTAGATTCAGAATCAACTTGAGTAGAAGAAGATGCATGGTCTGTTGAAAAGTGATCCAAAGATTTGTAGTTGATAACATTATTGATTTCTGAATTTGGCTCATTCATATGATGAAAAGCATTATCTGAATTCTGATTCTGACTATTAAACCTCTGGTTAATCTCATTAGGCAGAACTGTACTGTTTTGAGGACCCCGAGTCAATGTTTTTGACGAGGTGTTCTTGCGTTGCTGCCTAGAAGATTAAACAGTAGACCAAAGATTAGAAATTGGAAAGCATGCTTCTTTTTGCTTGTCAGTAATATTTCTTAGCTGAGGATCCAATGTAATAGAAGAAGGAATAGAGTTTACTGATGAATGACTTAAAGATTCAGAGCTGATACATGTTTGAAGATCAAATTTTGGCTTATTCTTAGCAGAAAGGATAACAGTGTTTTTTTTTAGATAAGAGATGGTTTTGTCAATACGGTATTCATGTACCTTTTCCTAGAAGACTGTGCTGCATGATAATCATGAGAAGATCCACATTGTTCTTCTCTTTGCATAATCGTACTAGTTTTTTTCCTACCTTTTCCACTCCCTAGCTCACCGATAAGTGAAGTTTCTGTAATGTATATAAATTAAAGGCTGGATTTGTAGCAGGATAGGATGCCTAATTAAAAATAAGGCAAGATACTGGTATAACAATAGAGTGACAAAGACATGGCTGATCTGTAGGGAAAAATCAGGCTGGATATACCTTCAGGAATAATAAAAAGTGGATTTGATTCAATGGGAACAACAGAAGGAGGAGTAGGACCAGAAACATTAGTGACAGCAGCTCCACTACTGGTCATGTAGTCCAATCCCTCTTTAATCAGAACATCCTGATCATTAGCAAAACCAATCGACCTATGTTGTAACATTTCATTCAGTGTGACATCGTTGTTCCGACTATCCTGAATGTTACTATCTCCACGTGAAGAAGAATTAGGGAAGAATACACCTATTTCAACATAACCAAGTGGAACACTACGAACAAAAGAACGTGATGATTCTTTCTTTTCTTTGCAGCCCTAGCTTCACTTCGGCGAGGTAAAAGCGCAGCCTTCTCGTTTTGGGGCATTTCTGCGTATCGTTTTCGGCGTATTGCACTTCTATCCATCTAACTTAATTAACCAAGGAACAAGGAACAGAAAATAATTTACAAAAGCACAGGCAAAAGAAAAATGAGACAAAAGAGAGAAAAGTAGTATCTAAAACCAACACAACAACGAACAATAAAATTCAACTAACAGAACCAGGAAAGAAATAGATATACAGTAGAAACAGATGTAAAGATTAATATCTATTGAATACAACAGGAAAATAAAGGAGTATATGAAAACTAATCAATAAATGACATCAAAATACGAAAGATCTGTCAAACAATTATTGGACAAACTCATATCCTTTTGCAAGACTTTAAGAAGAAACAAAAACTGCCAGAACAAAAACTAAACAGGGGGAAAAAAGAACAAACATGTAACCTACAGCAAAATTTTTAAAAAAACAGGTTGCAGAGTATTTAATAGTAAATATCGAAGAAATAAAAAATTGGTAGAACAAAAATCTATAAAAAAAAAAGAGAGAAAGATCAGCTAACCTGAAACAATTCAAGCTGCAGATATATAACAGAAGATGAAGAAGAAAGAAAGTTCTTTACAGCAACCACGGACGAAGAAAACTGCACGCAAAATGTAAAGAGGAAATAGGAGAAAAATGCAAAACACAAATAAGAATAAATAATGGACAATTGAAAGGTAGAACAAAGAATCAAATAACACAAGAAATTTCTTGTAGGTGACAATTAGCATCAAACAGCTTCATCATGGCCATGGAACTATTACAGACATTACTTGTTGACTGTTATTTATCTAGTTATCCTTCAAAGAGTTTATTCTACTGGTGAATCAAACACTATCCAGTAAGTCAGAGCTTGCAATAGGTAACCTTAGCTTGTAGAAGAGATACTCAGGTAGAATACACTAAGGAAGACAATAAAACAGTAAGGCTAGAGAAAGAGCAAGGAGTCGTGGCAACACAAGTCCCTGGTGATTTAATTAGAGACAACATAAAAAGTTGTAACCAAGGGAATTGCTATTAGAAAACTTGGTCTATCGAGTTAATACTACCCCATGTTCTAATATTTACCGAACGGCCAAAAAAATCAAACTGGAAAAGGTGAAAGACAAATAAAAGGCATTGGCATAACAACTTATCCAAATAGGAGAAGACATACACCTGGTGAATGCCGTGCAAAACACCACTATTTGAAGCCAGAATACTCCATATCAAGAACAAAAAAGCAAACTAAAACTACAAAAGTAACTTCTAGCCATTATGATAGATCACAGGATATCAAGAACCAACTTGTGAACAAATTTCGTTTGATACTTCCTGTCATTTCCCTACTGCACATTGTGATTCCAAAACAAAAGCAAGATATACATGTTAGGGAAACTGGGAAGCCCATCAGCAAACGACACACATAAAACTGCTTTCTAGTGATAAAAATACCTCTGAGGACTGCATCAGGACCATCATTTGGGTTCTCTATATGGTCTAGCAAAAGATATAGCTTGCTATATTGCAATACCCTCCCCCTCCTCAAGTTCTTTTCTTACGCTATTCCATCTTTTTTCCTAGTTCTATTAGCTCCAAAGTTGTACTTTGTAATGAAAAATTCAGGTAAAAGAAGGGATTTCCAAATCAGTTTCTAAAACCAAATAATCCAAAGACCATATGTTTAAATCCATATACTCCATCTTTGAACTATCAATCATCATTATTTGAATAAACCGAGGGAAAAAAAGAACCTAGGTGGCTCAGGTTCCTATCAAATCTGCAAAATTGCACAAGAAAGAAATACCAAGGGCAAAAAAATGTTCACCTTGTTCTGTCTATTCTGATGGATAAAACGCCGGTTGGCAGCTAGCTCATCTGACCAATCTTTATGAAAGAGAACAAAACGAAGAAGCAGCTTCAAAGGAACAGAGCAATAAAAAAGAAAATGAGAATCAAACAAAGCAACTGCCAAAGACAATCATGTAAAAGAGAAGATAGGATGTTGTGCTATAAACAATGATACAAAAAAGAAATGCAAAAATTAAAGACATCACTAACCATTAGCACAAGAAGAAAATGCCGGCAACAATGCATAGCTCTACCTGCAGCGGTGGGTTGGACAGAGCAAAGAAACAGCGGTAGGTTGGACAGAATAAAGAAACTGCTACAATCCTCCTTCCAATAGCCGTCAACAGTGATTAGAGTTATGGTTTTTTACAAATACAACCCAAAGGTAAATAGGAATTGACCTCCTGACATGAACATGAAGAAGAAGAAGGAAACGGTAAGAACAAAATGAACTTGTTATGGCCGGTAAGAAAATTATAATGGAAGGGCAAAATTGTAATATAACTGTCCTTATAGTCAACTAAGCTTAGTTATTACAATGATGACAATCAAGTCTCAACCATAGTTGTCAAAATCGCGATCCGGATCGTAGGATCGTACGATCCTACGATCCGGATAACCAAAATCGATCCGGATCGTATGCAGAGTCGCAAATCATATTAATTTTTTGCAGGATCGCATAGAATCGTAGCAGGATCGTGTAGGATCGTGCAGGATCGTTCAGGATCGTATAGGATCGTAGGATCGTACGATCCTACAATTTTTTGTAAATTTGTGAAATACGAAGCTCCATTTTGCAAATAAATGAAAATATTTGTGGTATATTTGTAATTTATCAAAGAATTGCAACCTTTAATTGCAATTAAGAGCTTTTGGTAGGATCTTACGATTCTACGATCCGATCCTACGATCCGATCCTGTGAAACTAAAATCGATCCTACGTAGGATCCCGATTTTACAAACCTTGGTCTCAACACATTGGGAAAAGCCGAAACAGAAATGCTGCTAAAGGGGTCCAATCAGGTGCAAGGAAAGTGAAGGCATGCAGCATTCATTTGAAAAATAGAGTAATAACATTTCCATTCGGAATTTTTGTTTGCACAAACAGGGGCAATTCTTACGTACAAGGACGACCATAAATCGTCCAATAATATTTTGCCACATCACAAAAAAAAGCAGCTCTCTTGGCACACCTCTACGCATTTAGTACATATGTAAGCTCAGTTATTACAATGATGACAATCAAGTCCCAACACACCGAAACAGAAATGCTGCTAAAGGGGTCCAATCGGGTGCAAGGAAAGTGAAGGCATGCAGCATTCATTTGAAAAATAGAGTAATAACATTTCCATTCTGAATTTTTGTTTGCACAAACAGGGGCAATCCTCACGTACAAGGACGACCATAAATCGTCCAATAATATTTTGCCACATCACAAAAAAAGCAGCTCTCTTGGCACACCTCTACGTATTTAGTACATATGTGTTAATAATTCATTTTGTTTGATGGCTACTACTTCTTGAGTGCCGAAAGGGGTATTTATGTATTTATCTAGCAGACTGGCACAAAATAGCATCCAAAGCCAAAAGCCAAAGAGAATAGTTGGACAAGTACCTAAAAGTGTAAAACCGGAACTCCCAAAGGATAAAATTGGTAATCCCTAGTGGTAAGCAGACACGCGGTGAATGGTGAGTAATCTAAACCTACTCCTACTCTATACTAAGTAGAATCCAAAGGAGTTCACTAAGTAGAATCCAAAGGAGTCAAAGGAGAACTTAAGGGGATTGAACCACCGGTCCAAACGAGTGCCTATGCACCCGCTGGCAAAATTTTTCTAGAAAATTCAAGTAGAACCTTAAAACTCTCTTAATGACCAACTACTACGACTCGAGGAGTAATTGATTTCTACATTGCGATATTCAACTAGTATAGTTTGATATCAACTATCAAGATTTTCAAGCTCAACAGAGATGGTCCAGTTTGAGGAATGCAAGCAGATTTTTCACAAAAATGGCTGCAAGATAAATTTAGAAAAGATTGTGCTTACTATACATCAAGTGGAAGGCCACAGCTAGCAGTATATGTACAAACTACAGAACACTACAGCACCGAAATGGCACTCAGTCACTCCCCAGTTATACATGTACGGTGCTGTACAGTCTGTGCATATAGACAGATACCATACTTTGCAGACAAAAATGGGGAGTCAAGGCACCAATACTAGGTTACAAACAAGTTGAGGATAACATAAACCACTGATATGTCATATTAAGAACACGGACCCAAGCGCATAGACCACTCTCTTATATCCACAATGAGAGTTGAAGACACCTATAACGAAACCTAACCCATGCACCTTCCGTGCCAAAATTACCAAGCAACTGCCCTTTATGGGTTCCTGTGAGCCTTTCAACTGGGTGTATCTGGAGGGCTACGGAACCCGTCCCAAGTCATCTGAAACATGGGGTCACTGGGTCGTCGAGTCTTCAACATTTGAATGGTTGATTCAACCAATGACTCATCGGGAAGACAAAAGTTTTCAGCATCAGCCTCCAAAGTCACATAATAATCATCATTTATTAGTGAAGACTGGCCAAAGTTGATTAGGGCTGAAGCTGAATCCTTGAGCGTATTCTCGGATTTCAGAACCTTTTTGTCAATATATTGCATGTAAACTGCCATCTCCCTGTAAAATCTTTCTCTGTCCTTCCTACTTGCTTCAATATATGGCTGCAAAATGAAAGAGCACAAATCATCAGAAGTAAGCATCATTCAATTTGTAAGAGGTCCAAATATTCTGATATTAATTGTATAACTTGTCATTGCAGAGGTGCAATGAATACTTCAGCAATCAAAAAACGGCAGCTACAGAAGCAAAAATAGGCCTAGGAAAATTGCAGGAAATATCAAACACACATGAACAACGTTAAAGCTAATGATAGGGCACATTTAGTATTGGTGTTAAGGTTCTAGCCTCAAACGGTACTGTTTTCCCTAATAACAGCTAAATTAAAGAAGTTGTGGTTTCAGCATGCAGCAGAAGACATATCATATCAACATATTTCAATCTGTACAGCTTACTGCTACGACAAAAAATGATGAAAAGATCGAAGGAACTATACCAGCCGATCATCTTCGGAAAGGTGCTTCCATGCGTCAATTGCCCTATCTCTTATGCTACGGCTACCAGAGGCTTCCCCGTGTATCTTCCTTAATCTCTGACATTCCATCTTAAGAAACAGCTGATATGAATTTCTTGCTTTTTGTGGAGCACAAATATGTCTCATCACTGTTTCCTCATCCAAAGATGTCTGGAAGGTGGTTTTCTGCTCTGGTGTTCCAGGCCCTGCTCGAACTTCAAGATTGATTACCACAAAAAGGATAGGTACATTCAAGTCACTAACAAAATCTTCCAGTTTTAGTGCACCATGTAATAGATCAAAGTTTTCATGCTGATTTCTCAGAGCTGAGAATAACAGCATCTTAAAATAATCAGCACGAATTGAAGAAATCCAAAATCCAAGTTATAAGACCAAAGCATTAATTCAAAGTTCAAGTGCTTGTGGCACAATCCAACAGGGATCCAAGGGCTTGTTGTACTGTGCATTTAATTCAAAATCCAAGTCATTGTGGCACAACTCAAGGATCGAATGCACTGACACACTAATGAGTTACTGATAAGTACTCGTAGCAACATGAATGTATGAAATCTGAGTAGCCCTTAAGTGACTCATCAATCAAAATAGATTAAACCTCTATGAAGAAATGTTAAAAAAAAAAAAATTCCAACCCCTGCTAGCTCAGACTGTATAGCACTACATTGACTTGATACTTTTACCCTTCTGGCACCTCCAGAACATTTCCAAAAGGTTTCATGTATATTTAATCTATGCATGATTTCAACTTTTAAGGAAAGATAAAGTTATGAACCTGATGATCCTTGATAAATATCAAGAATGCATTTCCTTTTTCCTGCTTCATAATCTTGAGAGCAGCATTCACAGGATTTTCGCTTCCCGAGCAAGGAATCATAACTATCACCACCTGCAAATTATGCCTATGCTGCTCAGAAAAATAAGGAGACAGTATTCTTTTATCTCCAAAGCTAAATAAATAGGAAAAACATACAGCTGCATGGTTGAAACCATACATACAAATTTCTCAATCAAACTCATAATGACGGAAGGGCTCTAAACTAAACGAATAAAGCAATTTTAGTAGCTTGTTTACCTGTCAGTTTTGACACTTTTGCAGGAGTCCTGTAGTGGTGTATTTGCTCATATTGGCAAAGGAGATTTTCATAAACCTTTTGAATTTGACTTGGTAAGATGGGGGCATGATTTTTGACACTCAATGCGGATGCAACTTCATTCCATTTCCCATCTTTTGAAACCTGAAATTTATTTGAAAGCTTATATAATTCCAGAGATGGAACAATTGCCTAATCAACAAAATATAGGGATGGAATTTCAGTTTATATACAGCAAGGGGCTTTCTGACATATATATCTTGTAGGAGGAATTACTTGTTCTTGTCAAATTATATTTTTCGTAGTCTCCATCTTTTTCTAAGGCTCATTATTCGAATCACATTGTTTATTTAATTAATAAAGGTAACCCTAGATAAACAAAATCATGGCCAAACACTACCATGGTACACAGACAGCCTGGTAATATAAACATCAGGGACTAAAATGATTCTGACACGTGTTCAACTTTAAAATCCTTTTAATAAGTTTGATCCCCTTCACAAAACTGAAAAAGATGTATCAAGTAAAGCTAACTATATATTGAACTGTCAGCAAAAACCCAAAAATATCAGGGAGATGTTATGGAGAAACAACTCAGCCCTAAGCCATAAATGCACAATTAGCATCCATTGCTTTATACAAACAGAAAACCTAGTTGAAAAATCGCCTGTGAATAAGAATGTCTGAAGTCCTCTAG